AAAGTAGTGAACAGCTCTATAAACATAGCTGGAACTGAGTCCCGTGTGCGCCAAAACTTAGTTTTACCTCACTCCCATTTCACCCCCCCTTCTGTCTTTGAATCTCTCTTGTTCACGTCGAAGATGTTCTCAGGTTCCCATGTTGGTACAACCTTGGGCATTCCTGAGAGCCAGATAATGGCTCATCTGCACCTAACGGTTAACATTCCAACCTTCTCTCCCTTCCTCCCTCTCTACTGTAATGGCAGAAACGAAGCAAGCGAACTAGCAATGCAAGTGATTGATTGCGAGGGTTCTGACATCAGTGTTGAAAGCTACCTGTGGCAAAAGAGAGTCATTTGGGCAAGAGTGTGTTTTGTAGAACTCTCAGATGCCCAGGCAGATTGAAAGTTCTTTCCCTGGGTCATGTTATTTTGGGGCTACTATAAATAACTGTTGGCATGTGTTGTGTGGCATCCTGGCAATGGCCTCCTACCTCTGTGTATGAAAGAGGCAGATTTGTAATTTGACTGTTGCCATTTGTTTGAGGAACTTTCCTTGCTTCACTTTTCAAATGCTTATCAGGAAGTTCCCTTATTTTTGGTTAATTGTTCTTCTGTTTTGGATTCCCATGAGTCTTTCTCCTACTTTGGGTTTCAAGACCTGTGTATGCAGCCACCTGTTTTGGGGTCACCTTTAAATCTTGATCTTTGCAGACATCTCTATAAACATTCTAGATCATATACTGTGCAAAGCCTTAGGAGGAGGCTGAATGACCTTGCCTACACTGGAGGGTTGCTGCTGAGGCCCAAGCAATTTCAGGTGTGACTCCTCTGCAGTAGGGATGGGAGAAAATGTGGTAGCAGCTGTGAATGGAGGTGATGAGACTTTTGCTGAAGAGCACTGGAAATACCTGAATTGGCATTCTCCTGAAAAGCCCAAGACCTTGCCACTGTCAAATTCTGAGACTCCGGTGTGGGCTGGGCTCTGGGGTATTGAGGTCAACGTTGTGTTTTAGTTGTGGCTTTCTGCTTGTCTGCTTGAAGTCTTTCTACTCTGCTAGATCCTGCCAGGGTAATAAGCACTGTGGGCTGATTTGTCTGGTCTCCAGGGTCTCTGGATCTGGCTTGAAAGGAAAGGGCATCTGTTTGCTGAAATTTAGTAAATATCTCTGAGGGGTTGTAAAAAGGCCCAGAAAAGATGATGATCAGAAAAACATATTGCAGTTCCTAGCATTTCCACAGCAGAATTAAGGAGAAGTATTTAAAAAATATTAAAAAATAATGCAGTCATTGCAAATGCATATATTATGTAAAGGGTAATATCTTTCAGGCTTCATACAAAACTTTATAAGTCAAGTACCAGTTGATAGGTAACTCCACCAGGGTCCAAATAACAAAACCAGTGGCATGTAATTACCTTTTCGTATAGAGAGAATAAAGATTTAATTGTTCTGCTTGCTGCTCATTGGCAGCTGAAAGAAGACACAGATCCTACTGCCTGTCCTGCTTACAAATCTTTCAAGCTGCCAGGAAGCAATTTTAATTTTTTTCTGGACTACCAAGCTGGGTGGATTGATGACTGATCTTTTGAAGTGAGGAGCAGCCATTTTTTAGCAAACTGTCCCAGCTAACCCTAGACTTTTGTTGAGATAATTATTGAGTAGTTGTTATTCCTTGAGGGGAATCTTTTGGGGCTGTCTTGTTCCAGTAGCTTTTCAAATGTGATCTGTGGTTACACCTCCGTAAGGGCATCTGCCTGGTGTCTGTTTTCAATAAGCATACTTCCAAGGATGTCTGTTTCATAAAATCTTGGAGCACTGAAATGAGAGCACACACTTTAAGTCTTCTTGAGGAGAGATAAAATAAGAAAAAGTAAAGTTTCAGTCAAGCTGTTTGATTTCTGGTGACTACATGGAAACATCCACATTACTTTTTTGGTTTATAACTGCTGTGTACGATTTCCTAGTCTAGCCTATATTCTTTGATTTCCTGATGGTCTCCTCTCAAAATGCTAACTGGGTCTCTGGATAGCCTTTTTTGAGATTAGCCACAATCACCTACAGTTCAGGTAGTCCTCGACTTAAGACCATTCGTTCAGTGACCTTTCGAAGTTACCGCGGTGCTGAATGAAGGGACTTATGACTGGTCCCTGAAGTTACGGCTGTTACAGTGCCCCCATGGTCACATAATCAAAATTCGGGCACTTGGCAGCCCTCCCACACTTACAACCGCAGGAGCACTTCAACTCCACCCACCCATCTATCTCCTCCTAGTCTATGCCCTTTTGGCCCCCTGCACTCCGTGGTGCCTGCCGCCCTAGCTGACCTTCGCTGTCCTCTTGATCCTGCTGTTGACCAAGTATGCCTGGCCTGGCCCATCATGAGGCAGCTGCTGGCCGCATGAGTCTTTCTTCCTGAGGTCACGCACGGCAGTTGCCTTGCGAGACCTGGGGAAGATGGCCTCATGTGGCAGCAGCTGCTTTGCGAAGGACCAGGGCGGGCATGCCTTGTCAGCAGGAGCAAGAAGATGGTGAAGACCAGCTGGGCCGGTGGAGCACAGGATGGCAGGGACCTCTGAGTGCAGGGTGGCGAGGGTGACTGGGACTGGGCTGGGGCAGCTTCACGCCGCACTTGCTGGAGCTTCCCAGGCACTGCGGCTTCATGCCATGCTTGCTGGGGTTTCCTGGGCACTATGGCTTTGCGCCACAATTGCTGGGGCTTCCTGGGCACTGCGGCTTTGTGCCACGCTGTGGCTCAGCAGCTTCTTACAGCCCTAGAGTTGCAGCACACCAAGAAACCCCTGAGCCACAGCATGGCAAGCACCCCCAGAGCCACATGATTCTGGGGCTGTTTGGCACCCCACCAGGCACGGTGCAGGGCAGCCAGAAGGGCAGAGACAGGGGGGAATATGCCATTGTGGGGAGCTGAAGGGGAGGTAATCCCTTACCTTACCGAGGCTCTGGGCTGGGATAGAGCAAGCTGGGAATGGCTTGGATCAGGGTGGGTTCTCGCCAAACGTAAGTAGTTTTTTGTTTTTTTTAAATCTTTCAATCGTGACTGCTTTCAATACGGAGACTGCCTGGATGAGTCCCTGCAGTTTTCCTGGCAAGGTTTTTTCGGAAGTGGTTTGCCATTGCCTCCTTCCTAGGGCGGAACCCAGCTGGCGGTCACAGGAAATCGAGTCTCTTCCATTGCATTGCGTCCAGCAACCGGCAACCGATTCCCGTTTTTCCCATGCAAGGCGCTGCCAGCATTTTTCCTCCCACCGGGGTGAGAGTACCTATCTATCTACTCGCTTACACTTTTGAGCTGCTAGGTGGGCAGGAGCTGAGGGTGCAAGATGGGAGCTCACCCTGCCACATGGAGCTTGGGCTTGAACTGCTGAAGTGTCGACCATTTCTGGCTGGCAACTTCCAGCATCATTAAGTTGCTGCGCCACCGCATCCCCTTCAAGTAGGTATTAAAAATAACCAAATTCTTAAAGATTTCAGAGGATTGGGAGATACGTCCGGGGCTAGAAAAAGCTCTGAATAGAAGTTAATATTACTCAATGCCTTATTTTTCTAAATAACTCATTATATAAGATCTTGAAATTCTTAGGGAAGCAACAGAAGTATAAAAGGATTTGGAAGGAAATGAATTCTAGAAAAAACAGTTAAAAGTACACCAGCCAAAATAATATTTAAGTAAAACTTTGCACTTAGTACTATTTCTTAGAGCTTTTATTTCCAAGAATAATTAGTGGGTCACAAGCAGAGCTAACAAATGCCCTGACCCATGCCTAATCCCTGGTTTTCATAAACATTTGCACTTTATAAGGTGTGTATATGATTTGCATCTTTAAATAGTGGATGTTGATTCCATTCAAGTAACCCAATTTTGTGCATTCTATTAATTATACAGTGGGGCAAAAAAGTATTTAGTCAGCCACCAATTGTGCAAGTTCTCCCACT